ATACTTAATATGTCTATTGTACAGATTAAAATATTAATTTTAAAACTAACAAATTATAAAAATAATTAAAAATAATTACTATTAAAACATTTTTAATTATACAAAAACTTACGTTAATAGGTATTATAGATTTTGTTTAACGAAACAACTTAAAAAGTACTTATTTGTTATAGTTTTATCAAGTTTTTTTAAATAAGTAAAAATTATAATTATGACAAGATGACTTGACTTAAGACTCTTTCTTCAACTCCCCACCACTAGTTTTCTTATGTGAAAGTTATCGAAATAAATTGTCAAATTATTAACGGTCACAAATAATTTTTATAAATCAAAATGAATTCTCTTAAATACCTCATTAATCCGTTTCTACGTTTATTAGTCTTTGATAATTTCATATAAATTTAAAGGGAGAAAATTGAAAACAAGAAAAAAAAATTGAAAAAAAGTCATGTATTGAATTGAAAAAAAAAATACATAATAAATAAAACTTTGAAGATAAACATTAAAAACAAAAATCATTTAACAAAACTTGTTCGTCCAATTAAAAATGGACTGGAATATTGTGATACTCATCTACCCTCAAATACAATACCAATTAAAAAATAAATAAAAAATATAGATTTGAAATCTTCATAAGTAGTTCATAAGTCTCCTTTGAATCCTCACACAAACATAAAAATATAAAGATAACCCAATTCATCAAAGATAAATAAACTGAATAGTGATAAACAATTACAATTCAAACTTTTTGAACTAAAACGACAAAAATAACAAAATCCCTAACTACTCCAATTTTCGGTGTCACATTGGCATCAGAGCTATACACTTAAGCATCCCTTGCTCCTCCCAAGGCTGAGGGACCTCGTCTGCAAAACATACAAAACATGCCAACAACAAACGAAGAGTAAGAATAATCTCACTCTATAAGGAATGGGCCGCAACTCTCGACATCCCATACCTTCCAACAAAAACTAAGATAATAATAATAATAATAATAATAATAATAATAATAATAATAATAATAATAATAATAATAATAATTTATACTCCAAACTATAGAAATCACAATTCATACTTCAAACCATAATAGCAACAATTCATATATTTCAACTTCAATACAACATCATTTATCATATATGCATCAATGCAATGCAATGTGCACCTATGTCTAAATGCATGGGGTACCCAGCCATTATCGTCATTATCATCGTAAATATATAATTGGTACTTAAGTTCCAAGTTAACCTTAGGCTACCAACACACCAGTGTTTCCATCAGAACACCGACAGGTTTCCACCAGAACCACAATAACAGGTTCCCACTAAAACCACAAATATGTATATATGATGCATGTCACCATCATGCAAATGCTCCTATATTATCACATCATGATCATTGTTTAAATCATCGTTGACCAACATCTTTATCAATTCACATTAAGGTCTTTCATCATTCAACAATATTTATACTCATCCACATCAAATGTCATTCACCAGTTTACCATCTACAACTTTTACCTCTTAAATTCCTTGAATTTCTCCCCTCAGGGTTCTAACTCTTTTCTACAAAACATTCAATTAATTACTCTAGAGACATCTGATCATCAAATAAATTACATATTTTGCATTTACTCATTAAATCACATTAAACGCACCTCAAATTTTGTCAAACAGAAAACTTACAGGATTGAGGGTCAATCCCTCTAGGGTTCTAATCCTCTTTTACAGAGCACAATTAATTATCCATAAACATCTAATCATCAATTAAATTACATGTTTCGAATCTATTCATCAAATCACATAAAACGCACATCAAATTTCATCAAACGTACATCAAATTTCATCAAAAGAAAATTTACAAGATTGGGGGTTCTAACCCCCTTTATAGAAAACATCTTATCATCAATTAAATTACATATTTCAAATCTACTCATCAAATCACATCAAACGACATCAAATTTCCCCAAAATGAGTGTTCTCACTCCCCCCTCCCCACACTTGGAGTGATGAAAAATGTAGATCTATGCGTCTAGTTCCTCTTCATTGATTCCTCCTCCTTGTTCTCCTAGTACGTTCTCTTTAGAGTACTCAAGCCTAGTCAAAGAACGCAAAAATGAAAAGTAAAATTATAATAATAACATCTTTTATCTTCTAACATAAGTCTTTTATTTCTTTAAACCCCCTCTCATCTTTATTATTTCTAATACCCCTTACAATAATTAATTCTATTAAAAGTGTAAAATAAAAATTATTAATTGCAATATAAAACCAAAATCATCCTCCTTCCCCCTAATTAATAAATATTACTAAATAGAAAATTTCATAATGTTACAAATTTGAACAACGTAATCCTAGAATTTGTTATAAAAATTGTGTGTGGATTAGTAGTAAATATCACATAATATAGAAATTTTTAATTCATACAATTTTTTAAAATTATTTATATAAATATTTCTTCAAACCATAAAATTATATAACTGAAAAATAAGATTAACTTAAATAAATAATATAATATAAGTTATTCAAATTTAGGTAAAAGAGTAAGAGTAGATCAGTTATTTAATCCTGAAAATTGTAAAAGTTATCCAATTAATAATTACAAAAGTGGCCAAATAGTTCCTAAGTTATATACTGTTAATCAATTTAATTCTTTTGTTTGGTGATATTAATTAATGTCACATTAGAAAGTCTAAGGTGTTAAAGGTGATGTTACGTGTCTGAACGACATCCAAATTGACACATACATAGTTGTCATGTAATGAATCATTTTTCACCCTGTTGACCAACAACCGCAATTTCACTTTTTTCTTTTCTTACAAAAACAAAAATGTTTTCATTTCCCCTTCCTCTTTCATCCTCTACAATTGCAAGGACTCCTTTCTTGCAAAATGCTAACAAGTGTAAAATTTCTTTCACGTGGTGTCTTTAAAGATTTGGATTTTTTATTTTTATTTTTTATTTTTCATTTATTTTATTTTTTTTATGCTAATTTTTTCTTTTTCTTGCAGCAGGCTAGCAACTAGAAAGACCTTATACTTTTAGATGGGTTGCAGGCTAAAGATCGAATAAACCCTTATAATTTGTAGAGAGGATAAAAGAGGAAAGACATAGGGAATTTTTTTATTTTTTGTTTATGTAAAAGAAGACAAGTGAAATGAGATTGTTGGTTAAAGGTAAGAATGACCATGAGAGAAAGGTAGATAAGAGCAAGTCACAAACCCGTTTGATGAAAATCCGCTATCCCACTTATATTCGTGCAAGTATCACAATTTCAATGAATCTTGTAGGTATTCACGAATTTCTTAAAATATAAACAAATAACAAAAGTAGCTAAAAAGAAAATACACAAAATTCAGAACTTTTAAAATTGTTGAATAGTAACAAATACGAATATCTTTTGACTTGTCATTATTCATCCCATTAAAAAGTGTATAGAAAAAAGAATTAATTTTATTTGGGTTCTTATTAAACTATCCAAATCCAATTTTATTCACAAGCATCAAATATATACAATTCTTTTGTCAAGTCTTAAAGTTAGAGTTGACAAAATGAGTTGTGTCTGTGAACCAACCTAATCCACCTTAAAAACGGGTCAAACCAAGATAAAATAAGTGAAATTTTATAATAAATAGGTATATTTAAACCAGACCTACTTTCACCTAGCCTACTCGAGTTGAACCTGTGGTAGGTCGAACAACCCACTAGCCCACCCATTTTTTTCTTGCAACGGACACTAGTTAAGCACAACTAAATTGACACCACACACACGCCAAAGTCCAAAACAAAACCTTATTCTATTTCTTCTTTTTCCATCTGGCCACCACGATGCAACCAGGCCAGCAATCGTGCAAAATCTTTGAGAAATGCAGCTTGTAAACAACCTCCAATGCTATTCTCATTGCCACCTGAACAACCTTTAGCTTCAAATTAGGAAGCACCAATATCTCCTTGTTCACAGAACTTCTCCTCTTTTGCTAAGTCATCCAAAAAGGAAGCGTCATGGTTCGAAGCGACGTTGAGTGCGTTCAAGTTGATCCTGATTCACTGGTAAGCATCGTGAAGGGTTTCTGCATTGGAAATACATGGTGCTCTCTATTTTTGATGAAGTATTTTTAAACCTTTATTTCATTTTTTTTTTATGTTTTTCATATTTTGATTGTGATGTTGCACTCAAAATTCAGGTTGTGACCCCCACTAGTAATATATTAATGGATGATTGGTAATTTTTTTTAATCTTTTTGTAAGTTGGTGGGCTGCCCGTATGACCCACCAACTCATGGTAGGCCGAGTCAAAGAGATTTTGAGAAAATAAAAAATGAACCAAGTTAAGTTGATCAATTTTTAAAATGAGTCAAGGTAGATCGACACATGAGTCAAGTTAACCCATTTTGACGGCTCTAGACTCAAAGTTGTCAAGAATGGTTTGTCCAAAATTTTGTTAATTTGGTCCAATTATTTTACATCCACGTGTGCTCGTTTAGATGTCCCTTGCATATGTAGCGTGTCTTATTACTTGAACTACGTTTTAATCATATATTTAGTTTTCTAATGCACTTTTGTTTATAGAAAAATGCTATGGTGGAACACTTTAATAGGTAGTACAGGGTGGAACACCATTATTCACCATTACCATTAGTTTCATCTCATCCACACAATTTCACCATGCATCCTCTCCACCTGGTTTTCTCCTTTCTCTCTCCCTCCTCCATTTACCTCACTCAAAATCTGTGCAAACCAAAAAATGTTTATAACTTCCAACGAAATTTTAGAGAAATAGAGGATAAAAAAACATATATAAATCATCGCTTATAAGGTTCTCGTGGAAAAACATACAAAAAGTGTATGCATCTAAAGGGTGTTGACAGATGCAGGGGTTGGCTTCTTGTTCAACTGAATTAACAAGTGAAAACTAATAAATATATCTAGCCCACTCCAATCATTAGCATGAAACACTATTTCACTATCTATCTTTAGTATGTCATTTTATGTTTGGAATATCTCTAAGAATTGGCAGATTATTTAGCCACATCTATTAAGTCGACCTTTAACATGTAAGCTCAGTGCACCATAAACCACAAATTAAAGTGGATCACCCTAGAATTTGTGTTGTTTATATAGAAAACACAAATTAAAGAAGCTCTAGTTCTTGTTCTTGAAGCAAGATTCGTTAAAATATTGACAAAAATGACATTACCAGATAAAAAATATTATAACATAATTGGTATCAAGTTCTCAAATAGTCCTCTCATCTACATATCTTCCAGGTACAAGCCTAGCAGTAGCAGGTCAACTGGTGAGCTCCTCCATTAGGCCCTGTTGATTTTCAGAAAATAGATAAATTAGGTCGCATTTCATACTATTTTGCAATATAAAATCTTAAGCTGGAAGACAACTTAACCTTTGAGATAAATGGCTCGGCATCAGTTCGCTTAAGAAAGTGCATTGAATGGCGGGCAAAATTGGCAGTCTTATCACTAAGCACAATGCCTTCTCCAATGTCATCAAGGACCCTTACTTGGATGTAAGGATCTTTTGGCGGTACCATATCCTATCAAATGCAGATTTTATGATTGACGATACAGTAGTTTATCCTCACATTTCAAATAAATTCTGCTACTAGAAACTATAAACAACAGTGAATAACTCATTGTTGTTCCCATCCCTCAGATTGGTGTTCTTACATCTTACCAGTTATCCAATCACATACACCTAAAGCAAATGCACATCAAGAACCCCAAACAACCAAGTCTATTAATTTTCACATGAGATGCATGCTTCTCAAAACCCCAACAATACTATCAACCGATCTCCCTTATTCATTCTGCAACCGACTTAAGGTGCATCAAAACAAGTATCTGCATGATAACCTTTGGTTGCATCATCACTTGAATTATTCAACTATATAGAAGATAAAGGGAATGCGATACATCCATGGAATTTCTTAAGCCAACACTATAAGAATTTTTGCCTCAATCAAGCAAGATGCAAAATGAATATTACATACATTGTAATTTGAACTGAAACGGAAGAAAAAAAATTCTTGGCCTACAAACATGGAGTTAACTTAAAACTAGGGATAGTTTTATACCACAACCAAAAGTAGTTCCTTTTCAATCAATAATCCTAAAATTATAAGCAGCCCAGGCTAAAATTACTTAAGACATTGATTACAGATACAACATCTTGAAACTACATTGATGCACATATGCATAAACTGATGTCTGTATTTTTCCCTTATATGATCTCTTATGTGAGTGTATACATGTGCATGTGTGCTCATAGGAGAGGGAGAGGTTACCACAGTCAGATCAACCAGCAGTTTCTTCATATAAGATTTCAATGCTGTAGAATGCTTCTTGAAATATTCTTCCTCCGAATTACAAAGCTTCTCTTCAATTTCTTGAGGGAGCACATGCCCTATCTTCCACAACAAGCTTCGCATAATTTCAGCTCGATTGTACCTGCATAGAGGTAAGTTACAGAATCTTAGAATGCAGATAAGTTACAAAATCTAACAATACATAAAAAATATACTTGATGGAAAATAGCATTTCAAAGAGATACTTACACATAGGCCATTAGACAACGTTTATTTCGGACTAAAGCAAGATGGTGGATAAGGGCTCCATAGTGATCTGCATTTCTTGCCGTTTGGACATCCAAACCTTCATCTTGTATCTTCCTGTTTACACAAAACAACAAATGCTCAAATGGGATAGGATACTGCAACAAAAAGTAATGCTTTGGGGGAAAATATGCATGTGACTTTATCACCTCTTATTTAACTTCTTAATACAGTTTCACCATACACAAGCACACGTTTAAAACCCATGCTTGTGTTAGATAGCATATTCCAATGAGAAAAAAGCGGGACACAAAAAAGAAGCAGGACACCATATTAATGCTACCTTATCAAGGACTGAAGCTCAAGGTGATGTTGACTGCATTCTGCAACTACTTGTTCAAACAAGTCACTCTACAAGATTAATGGAAAAATAATCAATTCAAAGTAAGCATATATTCAATCAGAGTATGGTAAAAGGTCTATGATAGATAAAAATTAAGAGCAAAGGAAATCAAGGTATCAAATAGCAACATCATAAAAGTCATAAATACTTCATCCAAGGATGATATCATAAACTGGAACATCATGAATCACGAAAGAATAAAATAAGTTAACTGTAATCAGGAAGCTTCTAAAAGATTTTTCTCCTTGCCTTCAGAGTGGGGAGAATCATGTTTCATGTATGAAAATGGTAGAATAGAAATGCTTGGATAAATTAAAAGGGATCTAAAATGACACGCAGACGCAGTTGATGAATTTAAGAAAAATATTTCATATGTGAATTAGTTGCCTGAATCCTGACTCAAATCGTACTTAGAGTGATCTTATCCATACAAATAATTTCTATTTTTCATCTCAACTACTAAAAGTTGGAATAGTGAAGAGAATTATATTCATAGTTGAACTTATCATTATATACTCACGAAGTCAACACCTTTGAAGCAGTAAAAAATCATATGCAGTATTTTAATCCAAAGCAAAGTAGTATAGATCCGGATACAGCTCTAGTATTGTAGCTGACAAGGGCTGGTAGAGGCAAGATTTAAACATGAATTCAAGTATTCTCAGTGAGGTAACTGTGACAGATTTTCACAACACAAAATGCCATCAACAAGCATCAGTAAGATTAGAAAGCAGTAACAATCCCCAGATGCATGAAACTAAAGGCTCATACAAGAGTACCAACATTATTCCAAAACTTAAGATACCACTCACTGAAATTAAAGTGCCAAAAAATAATGTTTAAATTACATACTAATATTGTAAATTATTTTCAATAACACAAGGTTGTTCCAGGCTTCCAGCATAACCCAACAATTGAAAAATAAAAATATTAATATCCAACAGAAAAATGAAGACATAGGCTTACATTGAATGGCACAAGCTGGCCCTTTTCTCCACTTGCAAATTCTTTCACAAGTTGGTAAGCTGTTCTCCCATACATGATCCAAGTTCCAGCTTTCACCAGAAGAGGAATTACACCCCAAAAGATTATGGCAAGTTCACAATTACTGATCAGATAGCTATGAAAACAAAAAAGAATAAAATTAAGAGATGGTTTCAAATGGGCAAGCTTTTGCTTAGATATTCAAATTCAAATCAACAGCAAAAATGGAACTCAGTAAGCATTTAGCAAGCTGTGACAGGGAGACCCTATGGAACTCAACATGTTACTTATGTACATTTAGAACCATAAATATGGCCCAGTCCACCCCACCAGACCTTGCCTGTATAGGCCAAGGTCAAAAACCCATAGGGCACAAAAGGCCGTAGACTCAAACCACAGGACAATATGGACTAGGGCCAACCCATGGTCAAGCTCAGACCATCATTTCTTATCTTTATATATTACTAGCCCACCTATTAAATTGGTTGGCCAGTTGGCCTTTAATCTACATTCTACACAAGTTATTTTGACATTATCAAGAGTTCATTTTCTGATGTAGTCTTGCTCATTTACATTAAGATTTGTTATCTATATTCAGATTTACAAATTTACTATTATTATAACTTGTATATTGCACGAGTCACATTTAATATTTAATATATAAATTTATAATCATAATTAATTATCATAACAATAATTATAAAAGATTATTCATATTATGTAATTAAAATAATAATGTCAAATAATCTAAAAAAATATTGATAACTTTTATTAAAAACATTGAATGTAACTTAATATAAATGTAAATTTATCAATAAAATGTGTCACCATAATAAAAAATCAATAATAAACAAATGTGAAAAATGACGAGTTGAAAAAACATGGTGTGTATTCTCACTTTTACAAGTTTCATTTAAAATATTCTCTTCATCCTTGTTATTCAAATAAATATAAAAGTATTTTAAATAAAATAATAATAAATGCTTGGAAATAACAATAGATAATATAGCCTCTAAAACGTCCTTTGAAAAAAAAAATTCTTTTATACATCAAATATCAATTCTTTACAACAAATTCATAATTTACAATATTGATTGAATTCTTCTCCACACAGACAATCATTCTTAGCTTGTTTCTTCCAACACAAGCCGAATCCAAGAAAATTCATGCTATTTCACTAAGAATCATACTGCACTGCACACTCTTTTCCTAGATTAAGTGTTAAAGGAAAGCCAAATATGAGAAGTGCTAGACAAATTTGAGCTTGGTTTGCAATCAGAGTCATGCAAACCAAATTCGAGAATTATTAGAATCAATAGTAATATAAATTCAGGTCTTTCTGCAAAAAGCCTTTTCACGCATAAGATAACCTATTAACCTGATTTCCAAAGTAGAATGAAATATATTTGTATCTAATTATATATGCGCAATTTGGTGCCTCATTTTTAGGACCAACAGAACAATCCAATAATAGAGTAATATTGGCCAAAAGGCAGGAACATCAAATACAGAAAAGAAAGTCAGCATAGATGCTATGCAGAAAGCCTTTATGAAAGAATACTTGGCCCTCAATAATTTTTTTAATCATTATTCTCATCCATCGACAGAGATTCCTTTAAATTGTTCCCAACAGAAACAGGTAGGCTTCAGCAGGTCAAATTTTCAATATTATAAATTACTTTAATTGTTAAAAGGATATAAAGAAGTGAACATTAATATCATCCTCACATCACCAAGCTCATTGAATACAAAGATTCTCATATATGAAGTTAATCTATTCATACAGGAACATCTAATCTCTTTTGTTTTGACCATATGAACTTCAGGCCATGATTTTTTGCATTTGCCCAACATCTTGGGACATTGAAGGATAAAGAAGACAATAAGCATGGTGTATATGGTAAAACTTGCTTAGTGTTATATATGTTCCATTGCAAACAGTTGCCTTGATTAATGATTTAATGTAAAGGTTATGAAGCCCGTGTCAAGTTCTTTTTAAATATTTAATCTAATGGTCAAAAGGTCAAGAGATTATACATAGATATATTTCTGGTAAATATTTTCCACAATCTCATTTCTCATCCAACCGCCAGAGATTTATCATTGCAAATTTATGAAAATATACTCAAAGGATTAAGGGACAAATTAAATAGGAGAGAAGTTTGTGTTTTGCTTCTAAAATTGAGCTTTACAATTGCTATATTTATATCACCCTTTAGCTGCTAAAAACTGAGCCAAATTATATTTGATCACAACCCCAAAACCACATGAATTATATTTCGATAATACTTACACATTCACATTAAATTTTGAAGAAAAAAAAATCCTTGAAATCTAAGAGATTGGAAGAAGAAGAAGAAGAAGAAAAAAGGGGGAAATTGCAAGAGTCTAATCAAAACCTAGGCTGAAAACTTTAGACAGTATATAAAAAAATATATAAAAATCAAGGAAGAATTGAGATTGAGAAAGTGATACATTACATGGTTAAATGTTTAATATATATAACTTCAGCTCTAAGTGGATTCATTGAAGAGTGAAATTGAAATACAAACCCTCCTTTCTAAAATAATAAAAGTTTGGTGAATAAACTGCTAATATTTTCAAAAACTCAGTCTCGTTGTTATAAATTATTAAACCTCTCAAATATATAGAATCTAAGAAAAACAATTCTAAGTGATAGAACAGTGAATCCTAGCCATCTAAAGTAGTTCAACTAATCTAAAGTAATTCACATATCTGTCCCAGAACAATCTTCAAATTAATTAAGTTGATTTGGCCTTATTTAATGTTTCAATCCAAGGTAAACCACACAAATTCAATCATCTTTGGTTTGAGTATCAATTCAGTGATTTGAAAACTGATTTTCTCTTATCTGAACAATCAACTTACATGGAGTGGGGCAAAAGAAGTAAGGAAGGCCTTAACATGTCATGCAATGAATAATTTTAGGGAGCAAAATGAAGGAATCAAAAGGCACAGGTCATTAATTTAACGGAGGATATTTGTAAAGAAAGTGAAGCAAAGAGAATATAGTTATAATCAGATCAATAATCCTACAAAAAAATCATATTCCAAAGACAACTGTGGACTAACAATTTAGAACTGAAAAAAAAAATCATAATAAAAGTGCTAAAAAGGAATGGAAGTCCAGCAAGAGGGTAATCAGAAAGGTAGCAATTTAAAAAGAGAGAATTTTGAAGATGTGGCATAGGAATGCATCTGAACCTTATTTTAATCAATTTAAAAGATGTGAAGCCAGAGGAAGCGACTAAAGGAAAAGAAAATTGTCCCAACCTAAGGCAAATTAATGTTTTCCTGCTCCAAAATTGGTTTAAAGTCAGCATCTTTTCCTACTCCCCGAGAAAAAAAAAAAAAAAAAAAAAAAT